CCGTATCCCCTCCACTTTGAGCACTGAGTGTAAGGAATTTTCACCCCACCCCCCTCATATTAGTATTATATACCTATATAGTTTTGTTAAGCTTACATAAAAAAAATTACTAAGCTACCACGATACTAGGTTATTCAAATCAATAAAAGCCACAAATTGTTTCAAAATCTGTTATTTTTGATATTATTTTAAATTTTTATATGCAGGTGATTTTACCTAGGCGTCGTGTGATCAGCTATGTATTTATAACCAATATGCTTGTGGATTTGAGCTAGATATATTTTCATACATTACATCATTATAATCATTCAAATTTAAAAAATGTTCATAAGTGGTACAAAAAATACACTAATAATATTATGTTGAATGTTTTTAATAACTATATACTTCAATTGAAATAAAAATGAATCGGGTATAGAAGAAAATTGTGTAAGAACCAAAATAAAATAAAATATAAACCTTTACAAATTTATTTGATAGGAAAACGATACTCTTGAATGACTGATTTACGATATAGGTACCTCTGTAGTACCTCTGTACTTCCGTTAGTATTATATATTCCATAACATGATCGTTCTCTACCTGAGTGCAATTCGAATTGTCATAGGAATTTACTGTTGTGGTATTGTGGTAAAGTTGTGGCTCGAGTGGATTTATTGCAGGTACCTACTGCAATGGGCTAAATAACAGTAACGATGATTTGCGTGTATATGAATGTATAACCGTAAATTTAAGTAACTACGCTAGAAAACTTGAGATATTGAACTAAATAATAAGTTAGAAGGTGAAAAGTTTCACTCTGATATCCCGTATTCCTCTCGACTTCTTGAACACAATTTCTTTTACAAAGTACAGTATAAAGTACATTGGGTTCGAGTCAGCTCCCAGCGCACGGGCGGAAAACTTTCCTGCTATCATTACCGTTTGATTTCGATCAACGCTCACTACGGTCCACTTTAACCCCCATCCCAGTCATATTTGTTTTGATATTTTTACACACACACGTACACGGACGCACGCGCGTATGGGATTCACGATAAACATTTTCACAATTTAATTCATATGAACGATGCACGGACAATGCGGATATCGTGCTCATGATTAAGGTGGTATCGGTATAAGTGCATTATTAGTGTCATTATAACGTTGTGTCATGTCGTATCGAACAGTTGACAGTGGAACTTTATGTATCCATTTATGAATGAGTTTTAATTAGCGCGTATATATTGTACCTATACCTACACGGGTAATTTTAGCTGGTCGCTACGCCGGGAATATTATAATATTATATCGTTCACCTGCCGTTAAAACAACAACGGTGATCCGAGATCAAGTCGGCGAGAGCGCTTACGGGGGCGTATCTGGAATATTATCTATTTGACGATTTAATCGAAGGTGTAATTTATCGACTATTATCAAATCCGCCAGACACACCCAACATATTCCGTGCCGGATACGGGTGGGCGCACACCGCTGCGGCGCCAGGGGTGGGTTAATATATAGTACCCATACGAAGACTTTGGAATTTTGGTCGGAGAAACACTGCAACGTCTAGTGGCTCGAGGACGCAACGGCGGTGGTGTTATATAGGGATATAAGGCACTTATATTATTATGTGCTTGAACGACGGGGCGGAGGTGAGTGCGCTTAGGATTCCGTGATTTATGATGAACCCGGCCGAAAAAAGGATACCGTAGAGATGGAGAGATAATATAACGAGACTTTCTCTAGGGCACGTGTGCTTACATATATGTGTGTTTAAACAGCAATTAATACAGAGGGGTGACTGTGTGCCGGACGTAATGAGGTAGATCATTGCCGCCGCAGTATACCGTAGTCATTCGTTGCCATGGGAGAAATCACTGAATGAATGCACAGCCGCTGCCATCCTTATACCTATTTGTACCTTTTCTAAAAAGTGGTGCGATAAGTAGTGAAGAATTATAGAAACGTAAAATATCATCGTGAATGGTTGAAATAGAATAATATTGCACACATCGATTGAATGCTTTTTTTTTCTACACTTAAAACAATCGGACGTACAGGAAATACATCGCTTTTCAAAATTTATGTGGGGACTATTTTGTTTCTATTTTGAATAAAAATCGCTTTCAATGAAAGTTATATCATCGAATTTTCGGATTCTTTCGTTATTTGATCTGAACATTTTTTTTTTTTAATATATTCGGCGTTTTGTAAAATGTCAAACTAAGGGTGCGTAAAATATCATCTGTCTCGTTGAATCCTAAGCATATTCAATAATATATTTTACACCGTGACCGTGGGTGAAAAGTGACATGTCATGTCCTTTTTCCCATTACTACAATGTATTATAAATGGGCATTTATTATTCAAATGCATAAATATATTATGTAATATATTTATATAATTTTTTTGTCAAAAGGATATGTCACATCACTCAATAAGAGAATTAGCAATACTGTACGTCATTTATAAAAAGTTATATTGGTTATTTTAGTTTTAGTATTATTTGAAAATAATATATACTATGGAACCATATAATAGTATAGTTTAAAAAAAGATAGTTATATTATTTATTTCTTCAATGATTTAAACTATTCCCTTGAAAGCTACCCAGGTACTGAAATTACGATCTAGTTAAAATGTCATATTTATTATATTTCTTATCTATTAAGGTGCTAATTACAGTTATTTACAATTGTTTAATTGTCCCATGAATTAATGTGGTTTTCCGAAAAAATTAACTTCTTGAAAAGAAAAATTACCATAATATATTATAATTTAAGTATTGTGTTTATTTTTTATTATTATTTTTTTTTAATCAACATTAAGAAAATGTAATTATTAAGATTGTGTACATCATATTATCCGTGGTTGTATAAAGACAAAAAAAAATGTACATTCGTAATAACGTTTCTGTAAACAAATTGATCAGAATTTACATTAAAATATTTATACGTCATAATGTTTAATTCGCTTGAACTATTACTACATAGATTCTTTTAGTTTTCTGTATATAAGCATTAAAATACTTATTAAATGTAATGGCGTAAGTAAAATCAAATTAATTTTATAAAAATTAATAAAGATTTATTTAAATTTTTAATTATATTAAACAGAAAGAAAAATACGATGATTTGCCATATCAATGACATTGCTATGCATGTCGATCAAAATAACATATCATATATAAATTAAGTATGAAGTAATGAAGTCATGATGACTTTTAGTAATTGCAGAAATGTCCATTGTACTTGAATGAAGTGTCTACACAATAATTAAGTACCATGAGGATATTATAAATTATAATAGCTACCATACCTGAAACCTGATAAGTAAACACTGATTTCGGTGAATCTTATAATGACGTAGATATACGTAGGTATAAAATACAATTTATTTATTGTATTTTGGAAATAATAATTAAGTGGAACAAATTTTCATATTACTGATTTATAATATTTTTTACTAGCGATGCGGTGCTCGCAAATGTTTTTTTCTTAGTACAATTTATTAATGACAATTTAAATTTTGTTATTACTGCACCATTGACATGCAATATTTATAACTAACTCAAACACGGAGTATTACATTTTCATGGTAGTATAATAATAGTATTGTCGTCCGCTAATGCATCGAATAAATAAAAATATAATGTTCCTATTGCAGTATAGGTACACGTGAACATAAATTAATGCATTTCACCATTTGTGAATATAATAAAAATAAAAACGATTTATTGTTGAGAACTATATCATCTCGTGAAATATAATATACTTAAATATAATTTTATAGAAATATCTACATAATATTGTAATACTTGGGATCGATCCAAAATTGTGAAATAAAGGTAAGTAAGGGCGTTTTAAAAGTTGTTAAACTCCTCAAAATGATGTATACATACAACAGACAATTAGTTAATTATTTTATGTGAGATTTTGTTTGAAATTTATACTTATGGCACAATAATATAGTTTAGAACCTAATGACCCATATAGTTAATATTTTTGTGTAGCAAAAACATTTCAGTCCATTAAAAAAAAATCTTGTTATTATACATCACTTGCCAAATTGTTGTTTTATCAAAAAATATAATCTGTTTACTAGAAAAGCCGAATCCTGAATACCTTTTATTATACTCTGTTACTGACATTATATTATATTATCAACAGAGACCGCACGTATAAATGATTATTGGTGTAAAAGCTTGGATGTAATAATAAAGTAATAAATTATTTGTAACTAATAATGATAATGGCACTGAACTGATATTTACTCATTTGTTAGTCGTAGTTCATATTTTGTATAAGTTAATTTGCAATAAATAATTTATACTAGCTAAACTATTATGGCTTATAAAAAATACCCAGATCTTGTGTTTTTCATGGTTGTTAATATTATGTATGATGTTATTATCATGAGGTTATCGGTCACTCAATTATTTATTTAATACAATACATTAATGTAGGTACTCACAATTTGGTTTTACGATTAAAAACGTATCGATTTCTTGTACAATAATATTGTACTTCTGTACCAGTTAGTATACTAATAGTTATAATAGAATTAAAACATACGAAATGTGTAGTAAGTAAGTACGAACGTATATAATTAACAACGCCCACGAGATTTATTTTTTTTACACATTATCTAAAGTTTACACGCAGACGTGTTTACTGCGGGATTAGAGATGAGAGAGCCAGAAAACAAAATAGTGTTTATAAATCATTTGGAGAATAATTATTTTCGTTTTTCCAAACAAACAGTAATAATTGGTCGTAAGAGTATTTAGAGTCCAAAATGTCGAATGGAGGGCCGATTGTTGGAAAATGATTGGACGTCGAACATCAAATATTTTCAGGCATAATGTCATATTATTTAATTAAAATCACTGGCTCGCAGCGTATCACGATAAAGTGCATAACATAATAATATTTACATTTAATTATTACGATGGTACATTAAAAAACTATGCGGATTATAATATATATTTTATGTTGATATTTTACGGTTTTTACCTCTGTACTTTTGATATAACACAGAAGCATGGACCGGTGTCAAGACATGTTGACGGGGACCAATACGAGGAAGTGGCTGCGTCGGTGGCTGCTGTTGTCGCGGAGGATAACGGTGACGTGTAGTGGGTGAAATGGGTCGCGTTGGAGGACGGGAAGGACGATGAGGACGTGGAGGTGAAAGATTTGGAGGAACAGGAGTAGGTATATGTCGTGTCGGAGGAGTCAACGGCGGTAACGGCGTTCAACGGTGACGGTGACGACAACGACGTCGTGGTGGCGGTGGTGATCGCGACGGCAGCGGCGTGACGGTGCTGACGCGCCGTCATGTCTCGGGGACGCGCTCACGCCACGCACCGGTGACGGTGCGACGTCGGAGGAGGCGGTGGCGTCGATTGTAGCAACTGTAGCACGGACGGCACGCGGACCAACGACGCGGCGGGCGCCGCAACAGACGACGGTGACGACGACCACGACGACGGTGACGACGACCGCGACGACGGTGACGGCGACCGCTGCGAGGACGGCGACGATGGTGACGGACACGGAGACGCACGCGACAACGCCAACAACGACGACGGTGAAAATGATGAAGAAGACGACGAGTTCAATGAGGACGACGAGTTTAACGAAGGCGACCACCGTCCGGCAAGGGCTATCGCAAAAACGGTCTTTGACGACGCGATACCGGCGCCCCGGCGCCCCGGCCACCACATCGTCGTCTTGTCGTCCACGATCCGAAGTTGGTGTTAATACTTTTTACTTGCGGGCGTAGCGCTAAGCTTCGGGTTCTTTGGCGGTAGTTAGTTACGCGAAGCCGGTGGCACGGTGGCCCGCGGGACGGAGACGCGAATTGCCTTTGTTATGATAATAATATACTATTTATCGTTGTATTACGTTATTACAATTATAATATTTGGCCGACGGAAGGATGGGACCACAAAACGAATAATAAGTCTAGATTAAAACAATCTCATTTTTTTATTTGTCGAATGATAAATGTTGATAAATATTCAGTTTTGTTTAATATGAAAAATGAAAAACAACCGACGTCCGAATGCCACGCGCGTGTGTGTCAACCGAAATCGGCGTGCGTGTTGTACGTGCGTTTACGCGGGGGACGCTGTACCCTGACTGCAGGCCGCCGACGCGTCCTACGTTTCGACCCCAACTACGCCACCGCGCGTACACATACGCCACACCTGCCACCGCTACCCGTCCCCCGTTCTCGGTACAACACATGCGTCCGAGCGACCGCCGTTTTCGGCCGCCGCCGCCGTTGGCGCGCGCGTGCCGGCCGGTCGGAGCGGCGAATATACGCGCGCGGTGTGCCGCCGCCGCCGCCGCTTTTCGCATAGCGCGCGCGAACCGCCAGCCAAAAACGGACGCGCGCGCGCGTGGGTGCGACGGCGGTGTAGCTTTCGGGGGAGAGCGAGAGAAAATGATTGCGCGCGAAAGAGATTCGGGACGGTGGAGCGGGGGCGTGGGTGGTCCAGAGGTGGGGTGTAGGGCGGAGGAGGCCAGAAAAAGAGAGATACCGCGAGAAAGAGAGAGACGTCGAGAGCGTGCGCCATCCACCGTTCCACACGCCGCAATCGCCTCACTACCATCTGCACCACCGTCACTACCACCACCATCGTCTTCGCCGTCTTCTTCTCCTTCTTCTTCGTATTCTTCTACACCCGCGACGACGACGGCGGCGGTAAGCTTGCGGTTCTCTCTCGCGATTGCTCGCTAGCTCGCTTCCGTCCACAGCACAACGCGCGAGCTCTCGATTTCCTACCGAAACACACGGTGTGGTCGCGAGAATTATGTTTGTGACAACATGACAGATTACCGTCGAGGCCGTGTGAGTTGAAAAATTTATACCCCGCGCATACAGAGTAGTAGTCGTATTCACTATTCAATTGGTTTGCGATTGAAATTTATGGCCGTCGTTACGTCGGCCGGTTTGGCGTACGAATTTTTTTTTATTTTCTGATTTTCATACTTCTATCGTCTTCTCTTCTCGCGATACAACTTTATTATTTGTTATTAATACTCTTTCGGGGCAGACTTTGATATGTTGTAAAGTCATTATAATATTGTCGTAAGTATGTA